TGGATGATACCCAGATGTGAGACTTGTGGATGCCCCCAGTGTCTTGCAGAACGATCGCCATACTTGAGAAATAAACTGGGGGCCTCGGTCAGAAACTATGTCTGAGGGGATGCCGTGGATTCTGAAGACGTGTTGGACAAGGAGCTGTGAAGTCTTAAGGGCTGAAGGTAGCTTAGGAAGAGGAATGAAATGGGCCGCCTTAGAAAACCTGTCGACGACGGTCAGTATAGTGGTGTTCCCCTCTGAGGGAGCCTGTAACAAAGTCAATGGAAATGTGTGACCAAGGGCGACTGGGTGACGGTAGAGGATGAAGGAGGCCAGCCGGGGGTTGGTTCCCTGTTTTATTCCTGGCACAGGTGGGACATGCCGCGACAAACTCCTTCACATCTTGGGAAAGGGTTTGCCACCAAAAATGTTTCTTAGTAAGTGCGAGCATGCGAGTTATGCCAGGGTGGCAAGAAAGTCTATTGGTGTGGACCCACTCCAGAACCTTGGCCCTCATGGAAGAGGGAACAAATAAGGTTCCGGGGGGTCCAAGACCAGGGTCAGGTTCGTGTTCATGTGCCTCTCTGATCTCTCTCTCTATAGGCCAAGTAAGTGCCCCAATAATGCAGGTAGAGGGTACGATGGATTCTTGACGGTCGGGGGTATCTGGAGGTGAAAACTGGCGGGAGAGTGCGTCAGGTTTTACATTCTTGGATCCCGGCTTGAACGTGAGTAAATAGTTGAACCTATTGAAAAAGAGTGACCAACGGGCCTGTCGGGGAGTCAAACGTTTAGCATCTCTCAAATAGGTTAAATTCTTGTGATCAGTCCAGATTAAGAAAGGAGTCTCTGTTCCCTCTAACCAGTGCCTCCACTCTTCGAGGGCCAACTTGACGACGAGGAGCTCACGATTTCCCACATCGTAGTTCCTCTCTGCTGGAGAAAGACGTCGAGAGAAAAAAGCGCATGGGTGAACCTTGTTGTCCTCTGAGGACCTCTGGGACAGAACGGCCCCGACGCCAGAATCAGAGGCGTCGACTTCTAGGATGAATTGACGGCTCGGGTCCGGATGAGAAAGGATGGGAGGTGAAGAAAAAAGTTCTTTTAATTTCCTAAAAGTGGTATCTGCTTCGGGGTTCCATTTGAAAATTTTATTTATGGAGGTGAGTTGTGACAGGGGGGCCACAACTCTACTATAGTTACGAATGAAACGCCTATAGAAGTTAGCAAACCCGAGAAAGCGTTGAAGTTGTTTCCTAGTCTCCGGGGTGGGCCAATCCACTACTGCTCGGGTCTTTTCAGGATCCGTGCGATAGTGGCCTTTACCAAAAATGAACCCAAGAAAAGACACCGAGGAGACGTGAAACTCGCATTTCTCCTGTTTGACAAATAGCTGATTTTCATTAAGACGTTGTAAAACTGCTCTAACATGGGTAACGTGCTGTTCGGGGTTCTTGGAGTAAATGAGGATGTCGTCAAGATAGATGAATACGAAATCACCGAGAAAATCTCTAAGTACGTCGTTTATAAGGGCCTGGAACACTGAAGGGGCATTGGTAAGGCTGAAGGGCATTACCAAATACTCAAAATGACCTAGAGGAGTCCTAAAGGCGGTCTTCCATTCG